ATACAAAGATTTTTCATCTACTAAAAATTCCTTTGTACCATATGTCCCTTCCTTCTCCCTAATCCCAAGCATCAACTGAGTTGTGTATTCTTATTTGCCATATGTATATTTTTTGGTGAGTTTTCCGTTGATATCTTTTAACTATTTTTAAGTTGTTTTCTTATTATTGTATTCATTAAACTATAAATTTATTTTTAAACAATTCTAGAATTCCATATCAGTGTAACCAGAGTATTATTTTGTCTGTATTCTTTTGTTCAACGTAATGTTTTTAAGTTTCATTTTTGGATATTATGTGTATCAGTGGATCATTCAATTTGTATGGCTGTATGGGTATACCATAATTTGTTTTTCATTCCACCATTGATGGAAATTTTATTTTCAGTGTTTAGCTATTAATAATTAAATTGATATGAATATTTGTGTGCAAGTATTTATACACATATTTTTATAATTTGGGGGTAAATTTCTTGGAGTAGAATTACTTGGTCATAAAGTAAGTTAACTGTTAATAGTTTATGAAGCTGCCGGCGCCGTGGCTCACTAGGCTAATTCTCTGCCTTGCGGCGCCGGCAACCGGGTTCTAGTCCCGGTCGGGGCGCCGGATTCTGTCCCAGTTGCCCCTCTTCCAGGCCAGCTCTCTGCTGTGGCCAGGGAGTGCAGTGGAGGATGGCCCAAGTGCTTGGGCCCTGCACCCCATGGGAGACCAGGAGAAGCACCTGGCTCCTGGCTCCTGCCATTGGATCAGCGCGGTGAGCCGGCCGCAGCGCGCTGGTCGCAGCGGCCATTGGAGGGTGAACCAACGGCAAAGGAAGACCTTTCTCTCTGTCTCTCTCTCTCTCACTGTCCACTCTGCCTGTCAAAAAAAAATAGTTTATGAAGCTGACAAATATTTCTATAAAGAAGTTATGCCATTGTATATTCCCAGTCTACATGATATAAAGCTTTTCAGTTGTTCCATATTTTCAGCACCACTTGACATTGTCAATATTTTAAATTTTTGCCTCTTGTCAGTCTTTTCAATTTTTGTGTAGTGATATCTATCATATTGCAAGTTTTAATTTGTATTCCCTTTATCACTAGAGATGCCAGGTATCTTCTTGTTTTACTTGTTGGCTATTTGTATACCTTGTGATGTTCCTATTGGAAACTTTTGCCCATTTAAAAAAATACTCATTAGAGTGTCTAGGTATAAATTTTAATACAAATAATCTGTTGAGATATGTACATGTACCTTTTTCCCCTTAAAATAAATATTATACTGTTTTGATCATAAGTTTTCCTAATCCTGATATAATTCTCAAAACATCATGGAATGTCATTCTGTGTAACAAGTCATAAACTTTAGCTTTGAAGCAAAATTATATCTAGTTTTACCTGAAACTATTTATTCTTACCTTATAATACTTGTATTTTTTCTTGTTCCCACTTTTTAATTGTATTGTTTATGTTCTTACAATTTTTATATATTCTTTATTCAGGGTATTTGGCATATAAATGCTGTAAATATTTTCTCCCAATATTTTTCTTGTACTTCCTCTTTCTTAAAAGTGACTTTAAAAGGACCATTTTTGGCCGGCACCACGGCTCACTAGGCTAATCCTCCGCCTGCGGCACCGGCACCCCGGGTTCTACTCCCAGTTGGGGTGCCAGATTCTGTCCTGGTTGCTCCTCTTCCTGTCCGGCTCTCTGCTGTGGCCCGGGAGTGCAGTGGAGGATGGCCCAGGGCTCTGCACCCGCATGGGAGACCAGGAGGAAGCACCTGGCTCCTGGCTTCGGATCGCCGCAGTGTGCCGGACGCAACGCACCGGCCGTAGCGGCCACTTGTGGGGTGAACCAGTGGAAAAAGGAAGACCTTTGTCTCTGTCTCTGTCTCTCTCTCTCACTGTCTAACTCTGCCTGTCAAAAAAAAAAAAATTTAAAAATTTATTAAAGTTTATACTTACATATTTAAAAAATAATTTGTATTTTTTGTGTCCTAAGAAATCTCTGCCTGCCCCAAAGTTGCCAAGATTGTCACCAGCTTTTTCTGGGTCTTATAATGTTAACTTTTACATTTACATTTTGGACAAAATGAACAAAATGGACCAAATAGATTTTTGTATGTGGTATGGGATAAATATCAAGGTTCATTTCTTTCTCTACAAACATTTAGTTGTTATACTTTTTGTTGAAAGGCCATCTTTTCCCCCATGAAATTACCAGAACACCTTTGTTGAAAAGCAGTTGGTCATATACCAGAACTCAGTTCTTTTTTTTTTTTTTTTTTTTTTTTTTTTGACAGACAGAGTGGACAGTGAGAGAGAGAGACAGAGAGAAAGGTCTTCCTTTGCCGTTGGTTCACCCTCCAATGGCCGCCGCGGCCAGCGCACTGCGTCCGGCGCACCGCACTGATCCGATGGCAGGAGCCAGGAGCCAGGTGCTTTTCCTGGTCTCCCATGGGGTGCAGGGTCCAAGCACCTGGGCCATCCTCCACTGCACTCCCTGGCCACAGCAGAGGGCTGGCCTGGAAGAGGGGCAACTGGGACAGAATCCGGCGCCCCGACCGGGACTAGAACCCGGTGTGCCGGCGCCGCAAGGCGGAGGATTAGCCTAGTGAGCCGCGGCGCCGGCCCAGAACTCAGTTCTTTTTGAGTAATCTATATATTTATTCTTACAACAGTACCATAATATCTTCATTATTATTATTTTATTGAAAGCAACATTATGTTGCTTGAAATCATGTCTTTCAATTTTTTTCTTTTGTTTTATTTTGGCTATTATGGGTCCTTTTCATTTCCAAATATAGTTTAGAATCATCTTATGGGATTGTTTTGAATCTAGAAATTAATTTAAGAACATGTTAACAGCTTTGATCTTCTAATTCATGAGCATACTTTATCTCTTCATTAGTCCTTTAAAAATTTATCTTTTTTTGGGGGGATAAAGATTTATGTATTTATTTGAAAGGCAGAGTTACAGAGAGAAAGTTGGAGAGAAAGGAAGAGATCTTCCATCCAGTGGTTCACTTCCAAAATGGTTGCAACGGTTGGAGCTGAGCCAGGCCAAATTTAGGAGCCAGGAACTCCAACCGGGTCTCCCATCTGGGTGGCTAGTCCATATTCTGCTCTTTAGCAGGGAGCTTGATTGGAATCAGAGCAGCCAGGACTAGGACCAGTGTTCAGGTATGGGATATCAGCATTGCACTGTAACACAACTGTAGCACCTAAAAATTTATCTTAACAATGTTTTATACTTTTTAGTGTAGAGGTCTTACACATTTTTTGTTATGTTTGTTCCTATGTATTTGACCTTTTCCGATACTAGTGTAAATAGATTCTTTCTCTTTATTTTTTAATTGTTCATTATTTTGCCAGATTATCTTTGGATGATTGCTGGACATTTTACTTAAAATTTAAAGTAATTTGACTCTGTGGGTAACATTTTTTTAATGAAGACAGAATTTTCTTTTGCCATTGCTGGCCGTTGGACTAAATGCTGATCACTTTATTCTAGGCAGGGATTGAGCTGTTTCAAAGCTAGCCTTGAGTTCTAATAAAGGCTGGTCTATTTCCTGTTCACTCATTTCTTTCCAGTGGCCCTTCATGATCCAACTAATCTTGGGTTATCCATCAAAGCCCCTTGTCTTTGACAGGCCCCAAGTTCTAATTTGTGTCCCTGCAAGCCTCTGAGGAGGAGCTGTCCTCTACTGCTCAGGCTCCCAGTCATTGCTTTTGCTTTCAGATTTGGCACTTGTCACAATGGAGAAAGTCACTTCAGATGTTTGCATCACCTCTTTTGTCTCCCCACTCTCTCTTTTAAAGAGTTATTTGTTTATTTGAAAGGTTCAATTACAGAGAGAAGGAGAGAGACAGAGAAAGAGAGATCTTCTATCTGCTGCTTCACTCCCCCAAAATGGCCACAACAGCTAGGGCTGGGCAGGGCCAATGCCAGAAGCTTCCTCTGGGTCTCCTACATCACTGCAGGGTCCGAAGTACTTGGGCCAATCTTGCCCTGCTTTCTCAGGCAAATAGAAGTGGAGCAGCCAGGACACAGATCGGCAACCATATGGGATGCTGGCACCTCAGAAGGTGGTTTAACCCACTACACCACAACCCCAGCCCCTTGTCTTCTCTGTTCTAACTTGTCTTATAATGTCAGATGTCCAGAGGTCTTCAAATTATGCCTTCTTTTCCTTTTATGAAAAAAATATATTTTCATGAAAAAAAAAATATATATCTCCCATCTTCCTTAGTTGTTTTATAGGCTGGTTGATCTGAGACAACTGACTAGGCCCTTGCCAGAGATGCCTTTGCTTTTTCCTGTCCTCTTCCACTCTTCCATCCCACCCTGCACTGGAATACTGCATTGTTCTGTGCATCTCATTTCCCACTGTACTCCTAACACCTAGATAGTGCCTAGAACAGAGTATAAGTCAAAGGGTAATCTTTGGATTAAAGAACAAAAAAATCAACATTTTACTTGAGAAGACAGAATGAAATTCAAAAGAAAATATCTTTCCTGTCATTTGTTCAATCCTCAGGTGTAGCCCAGCTTCCTGAGCATATTTAGGGGGAGTTCTGAATTAGAACTCAAGAACTTTAGATGAGGTCTTTCTTTTATTTTTTTTCTCATAATTAAAAAAATTTAATTGACAAACAGTAATTGTAGTCTCTATATTTTCTCAAGCTGTTAAGTGTCATAGTTAGTATTTATTTCTCCATTTAAGTATGGTTTATTACTCTTAATCATGGGAATAATTTTAATTGTTATTAAAGAGCCTTTAATGGTAAAAAGTTAAAGATGTCAAGTGCTTTGGAATTCATGTTTTAAATTAGCAATCAAAATACTTAGATAATAGGCTCGTAATTATTATTGTAATAATTCCTATTAGTGAATACAAACAAGAAAAATGGATTATTATCATGTTTTAAGAAGTAAAAATGAAGAGTTTCATTAAAAGATTACATTTTTCATAGTACATAAATGTTTACCTGTGTTTTCCCCCTTCTTCCCTTTAGGGCCATTTTAAGTGCCAGATCTAGTTACTTTGCTGCAATGCTGAGTGGCTGTTGGGCTGAAAGCACCCAAGAGTATATTACTCTTCAAGGGTAAGCATAATTTTTAGAAGGCAGTTTAACTGAAAATGATTGCAAATAGTGCTTCATACCGAGCACTTTTTAGGAATCTGATTTCCCTGTATGCTCAATTAAATATTTTTCTTATAATAGAATTCACCAAAGTAAAGTTTCTGAAATGAGAGGTAGTAGGGAGCATTTAGTAATAGAATTTCTGTATTAATCTACTTAGTTATAACAAAATACCAACCTGCATGGCTTGAATAACAGAATTTATTTTCTCACAGTTCTAGGGACTGAAAGTCCAAGGTCAAGGTTTCAGCAAGGCTAGCGTCTGAGGGGAGCATTCCCTTTGGGTTGCAGATGGCCACCTTCCTACTGTGTGCTCACACATTCTTTCCTCAGTGTGTACACTTGGAGAGAGAGCTCCATGGTGTCTCTTCTAAGAACACTCATGAGATCAAGGTCCATGCTTACAACCTCAGTTAACCTCAGTTATTTCATAGAGGCACCATAATGACCAAATATGGCCAAACACATATGGCTTCACCATATGAATTAGGAGGAGGGAGCACAAACATTGGGTCTATAATAGGCAGTTTCTGATTATGGAAGATTTCTAAACGCCAAGCCAAAGATTTTATTATCTTGTGGATAAAAGGAATGTGTAGGCAGGTCTATTGGTGAAATTTTATCTTTACCATTGAAAAACACCATAAATGATATATGCGTCTTATTGATAAACTCTCTTCCTTTATGGTGATTAAAATACAGGAAATGTAGTGTTAGCTGAAGTCAAACTCTTTCTAAGTATGCCACTTCAAAGTATAACCATTATGAAGTCATTTTAGAAATTTGTCCAGTGGCTGTATTTCATATATTTTAGACATCATTTTTTAAAAAGATTTATTTATTTATTTGAAAGTCAGAGCTACAGAGAAAGAGACAGAGAGGTATCTCCATCCACTGGTTCACTCCCCAGATGGTTGCAACAGCCAGTGCTGGGCCAGACTTAAGCCAGGAGCCAGGAGCTTCTTCCGGGTCTTCCACATGGGTAAATGTGCCAAAACACTCGAACCATCCTACACTGCTTTTTCCAGGCCATTAGCAGGGTGCTAGATTGGAAGTGGAGCAACTGGGTCATGAACCAAAGCTTTTCCCAGTATGCCACAATGCCAGCCCCCAGGCATCTTTTTTTTTAAAGATTTACTTATATGAGTCATATTTATATGACATATTTATATGTCATATTTATATGACAGAGAGAAACAGAGAGAGAGAGCGGGATCTTCCATCTGCTGGTTTACTCCCCAGATGGCCACAATGGCTGAGACTGCACCAGGTCAAAGACAGGAGTCAGGAGCTCCATCTAGGTCTCCCATGTGGGTTCAGAGGCCCAAGCACTTTGGCTGTCTTCCATTGCCCTTCCAGGATTAGTAGGGAGCTGGGTCAGAGGTGGAGCAGCTGGGGCACAAACCAAAGTTTTACCCACAATGCCAGCTCCCTAGACATCATTTTTTATTTTAAGATTTATTTATTTATTGGAAAGGCAGAGCTACAGAGAGGCAGAAGTAGAGAGAGAGAAAGAGGTCTTCCATCCACTGGTCCACTCCTCAGATGGCCTCACTGGCTGGAGCTGGGCTGATCCAAAACCAGGAACCAGGAGCTTCCTCCAGATCTCCTACACAGGTGCAGGGGCCCAAGGAGTTGGGCCCTCTTCTGCTCTCCCAGGCCATAACAGAGAGCTGGATCAGAAGTGGACCAGCCGGGACTTGAACTGGCGCACATATGGGATATCAGTACTGCAGGTGGCGGATTTACCCACTAAAGTCCAGCGCCGGCCCCTAGACATCTTTTAAACTGCTAGTCCACTCTTTTTGGACTGATTTCAATAAAAATTTAGTTAGAAAAATAACACTAGTTTGACTCAGAATGAAACTTCTGCACATTCATTAAAAGTAATGTGATTCTGGGGCCGGTGCTTTGGCACAGCGGGTTAACACCCTGGCCTGAAGTGCCACCATCCTATATGGGTACCGGTTTGAGACCCGGCTGCTCTTCTTCCGATCCAGCTCTCTGCTATGGTTTGGGAAAGCAGTAGAGCATGGCCCAAGTACTTTGGCCCCTGCACCCACGTGGGAGACCTGGAAGAAGCTCCTGGCTCCTGGCTTTGAATCAGCGCAGCTCCAGCCATTGAGGCCAATTGGAGAGTGAACCAGCAGATGGAAGACCTATTCTCTCCCCCTCCCACCTCCCACTCCCCCACCTCCTGCCTCTCCTCTCTCTTTGTGTAACTCTGGCTTTCAAATAAATAAATAAATCTTAAAAAAAAAAAAGTAATGTGATTCTCTGTTGTGAGACAAAAGCCAAAAGAAGTATATGATTTTAAGATCTTATTTTGTAGCAGAAGGAAGTAATTTACATACATAGAGCATATGTGTAATGTTTTCCTGAAAGAACTCTTAGTTCATTGTAGATTAATTACAATATTTGCTACTTGACACCTGTTATGTATTTCTTTGTTCCTCTCTCCTAATATATTTTATCCTTAGCTCTTATAATAGCTTATGATCATACTTCTTATTTTCTATGCTTCTTCCACAATGTATTATGCGCTTTAGTTTTTAGATTGGTCTTTGAGATAGAGAAGGTATATTCATGTATTACATGATTAGTGAAAACAAGATCAGTGAAGTTAAATGTCTCCCAGGGTCATTGGGTCAAATAAATGCTTATGCTGAATATAAATCACATGTTTGTTGATTCTTCAGGGTTCATTCCACTGCAGTCAGTGAAGAAATCAAAGTTTCCCTTTGGCATTTGTTCTTTTTTTTTTTTTTTTTTTTTTTTTTTGAGAGAGAGACAGAGAGAAAGGTCTTCCTTTGCCGTTGGTTCACCCTCCAATGGCCGCCGCGGCCGACGTACTGCAGCCAGCACATCACACTGATCCGATGGCAGGAGCCAGGTGCTTTTCCTGGTCTCCCATGGGGAGCAGGGCCCAAGCACCTGGGCCATCCTCCACTGCACTCCCTGGCCACAGCAGAGAGCTGGCCTGGAAGAGGGGCAACTGGGACAGAATCCGGCGCCCCGACCGGGACTAGAACCCGGTGTGCCAGTGCCGCAAGGCGGAGGATTAGCCTAGTGAGCCGTGGTGCTGGCCTGGCATTTGTTCTTGAGCAAGCTCAAGATTGCTTTTTCCTCCACAGTTTAAATCAGTTCTTTTTTTTTTTTTTTTTTAATCTGTTCTTTTCAAACTCTGACTCATAGAACCATCAAGTTCTTGGTAGGTACATTAGGGAACACATTGGGTGGGATTGGAATCTGAAAGGGAGGCCATTTGGAAAAGATGCCCCTTCAACTTTTATCTGCTTTATGTAGTTCAAAATGACCTCTAAGTTTAGCTATGGGAATAAAGCAAGGAGAATTTTTTGTTGTTTTTTTCCATTTTCTTCAATCACCCTTCATGTGCTGATGAGCTTAAATAAGTAAACACTTAGCCTTTTATTATATTATTTTTTAAATCTTTTGTTCTATTTTATTTGGGAGACAGAGAGAAAAATCTCCAGTCCTTTGGTTCACTCTCCAAATGCTCACAAAAGCCTGAGGTTGTTGAAAGGATTTAATGAGACACTTACAGAAAGAAAAACTTGGCACAGCAATTTGTACATTGTATGGATTGTATATTACTGTTTGTCTTTTCCTTCTTTCTTTACGTTAGATTGTTGTCATTTCCTAGGGAGAAGGTGAGGGCCATTCCCAGGACTAAGACAGCAATCCCTGTTTTGCACGATCACTTCTTTTGGAACTGTGCAGCTGTTGCATATCTGCAAGATATTTGCTACAGATAGATTAGAAAGAAATTCTTGTCCTTCCAGACACAAACACAGTGTTTTTATAGAGTTGATAACTCAAAGGTGTAGTGTGCATAATATTTTTTAAGAGAGATGGCCTTCAGTAAATTGACAGGAGAAAAACAGTTCTATAATCCTAGCTTCAGTCATGCTGGGAGGATGGAAGCGTATAGCTGGAAGGAAAATTTTCTGTTCTAGTGAGAGGAAGCAAAGAATTTTCCACTTCTTAGAATGGAAGGTGAAACACAGCCAACACTTCTATAAAGGAACTATATGTATTCCCATCTTACATAAATAGAAATCTTTTGGTGATGGCTTGGGCATTGGAGCATAAATTTGAATTTTCTAATCTTAGGAGATTCTTGTGATTGCTTTGAGCCTTCAGTATGATATTTTAAAGCATAGATCATATTTTTCTCTTTTTAAAGATTTTATTTATTTATTTGAGAAGTAGAGTTACAGACAGACAGAGGGAGAGACAGAGAGAAAGGTCTTCCATCCCCTGGTTTACTCCCCAGATGGCCGCAATGGCCGGAGATGAGCCAATCCAAAGCCAGGAGCCAGGAGCTTCTTCCAGGTCTCCCACGAGGGTGCAGGGGCCCAAGGACTTGTGTCATCTTCTACTGCTTTCCCAGGCTATAGCAGAGAGCTGGATGGGAAGAGGAGCAGCTGGGATACGAACCTGTGCCTATATGGGATACCAGTGCCACAGGTGGATGCTTAGCCTACTGTGCCACAGTGTTGACCTCCATATTTTTCTTCTTACAAAAATTCCTCAATGTTTCCTCGTTGAAGAATTTTAGAATTAAATCGAAGCTCTTTACCATGATGTACAAGACCCTACGTGATGTGAACCCCATCTCCATCCTTTTATACCATTCTTGCTCTCACTTGTTGATCTTTGTTCTTTCAGCAAGCTCATTCCTGCATCAGGGACTTTATACTTGCTGTTCTCTCTGCCTAAGAGTTTGTCACCTAGTAATTTGTGTAGTTAGTTTCTCATGATTGAAATCTCAGATGAAGTGTCCCATTCCCAGACTACACCACTAAAGTAGCTGTTCCCTCAGTTGCTCCTTCTTGTATTTTTCTGTTACATTGTGTTCATTGCACTTTTCACTATAAAAACTGTCTTCTTTACATGTTTATTTGCGTCTTTTTGTCCATGCCCTCCTCTGGAGTAGA